CCACTGTTCTTTTCTGTGTTCAAACTGCTCTTCTTATGAGGAAGCCATTTACATCCCAGTGCTACAGTTCCCAAGTTCTCTTGGATTCCTGATGGCTTTGTCTTTAGCCTCAGGGAAATTTTGATCCACTCAGTTCATTCTGCAGTTGCATTTAATCTTGGCCCTTCTGATAATCGATTTATTACTAAAGGTTTTATCCGAACACTGTGCTAGTCTTCATAACTATGAAAAAAATCTCTTGTGTGTGTTTGTACTTGCTAAATTTAATTGACACCCAATGTAGATGCAAGGAATTAGTTATAATTCTTTGTTTCCCAAAAGTATTTGGATACATCTCTGTATGTTGGTCAAACTTGTTTCAATAATAATAGTACATACATTCCAGTTCGTGAGACAAACCAATAAATACCTTTCTTCTGGCAGTGACTGTACACTCTGAATGACCTCCAATTCTATGTTACTCTATTGTCAAAGAGGAACTATGACTTTGGTGGCCTTATGTTTTTGATATACTCTTTTTTTTATTATTTGTTGGAGGAGGTAAAAGTTGTAATAGTCTCAGGAAGGATTGCCTCATTTATATGATTCCATTGCTCAACTTGGAAATCCCTGAGCTTGAACACTTCCACAGGATTTACCTGCCCAGTATTTCCAGATACAAATGTTATCCTCATCCACACCTCAGAGAAGTTGCTAAAACAGCATGCTTGCAACCTCTTGATTCACTATTAGCTTGTAACTAAGGCATTATTTCTTTCAATGCTTCCATAATTCTGCTAGAAAAGCCTGCCCTTTTTGGTTGTTGCTGATAGTGGTGATTGTTTCTTACACCTGTGATTATTCAAAAGTGCCTCAGTTCTATTTGTGTGTTCTCATCAAACAGTTTCTGTTTGGATTTGTGTGTATTAGTAGCTGTTTCTGATTCCCCAGGACTCCCGAGAGTCAGCATTTTCCATCCCATATATGAGTCTACATGTGTAAATATAAAACATTCTGTCCATAGCCTATTGATTTGATGTACTATATTGAATGATTACTGAATTTTTATGATATAACATGCTTGTAATCAATTCTTTGTTCATGACATTGAATTACTCTTTATATTTGTTAGATTTGATTTGTTAATAGCTTTGAAGTATTTTTCTTCTTAATGTTCATGAGAGATATTAATGTACAGTTTCATTTCTAATACTAGTTTGGGTTTGTGTATTATTTGGAACGTTATCAATCTATTCACACTCTTTAACAGGCAAATTCATATTTTATTGCTGATTTTTCCCTTTGTGAGGTCTGATTCGTGTGTATTTCAAGGAACTGGCCCATTCATTACATCTAGAGGTAGACAAGTTTCTGTTCTGCCAAGTCCTGCAGCTGCTCAGTACCAAATAAACACACAGAGACTTATACTTATCCCTAATATCCTGTAATTATAAAATACACCCCTGCCCCCACACCACACACAATTTTGTACTTTATCCTGTAAATGCCGATGGCTGAAGTTTGAGTTATTTTGAAACATCATTTGGTTTCTCCTGAAACTTCTTTGCTCTAAGTGTTATCTCTCCATTATGATCTTCTAGTTTAATTCTACCACGGTCTGAGAGCCAGATCACTTCCATTCATTTAACTTGGATACCATGTGTTTTTTTTTTTTTTTTTCCAGAATGCCACCAATTTCAGTGATTTTTATGTGTAAGCTTGAGAAGAATGTATCTTCCTCCTTTGCTGATTGAAGCATTGTATAAATGTAAATGAGACCCAGTTGATTGATGTTCTTCACTTCTAACATGTCTTGACTGCTTTGTTCCTTCTGATCTGTCAATCACTGCTAAAGAAAGGTTGAAGTCTTCAGCTATGATAATAGATTCATTTCCTTTCTCCTTTAGATATATTCACTTTTGTCTCAAGTATTTGATAACGCTGTTTTTAGGCACACATACATTGAGGATGTGTATGTAATTTAGGAAACTTTTATAATTCCGTCTCAGTTCACTAGGGCCACAATAGCAAAGACTTTAGAAAGAGTAATTTATAAATAGAAAAAAAATATTTCTAGTCTGTCCTTACATGAGAACAGCTCCCGGAAATATCCCTCAGGCTTCCTTCATTCAGGTACTAATCAAATTGAGGAGGGCAGTCCCTGAGATCTGATCACTTCCTGAAGGTGGCACATTGGAATAACATCACCTTGGGACTTCACCACATTTGTTCAAAGGAAGGACAAAGCCTTGAGTCTACAGTAAAGGCTTTATATTATGCCTGTTAAGTTTTCTTTCTCCGAAGCCTGTTTTGCCCAACATTATATAGCGTCTCCACATTGCTTATAGTAAGTGTCATCTCTTGTGTACTGTTCTTCATCCCACTAATTTTCATCTAGTTATGCCTTGATATTTAACTGGGTTCCTTCAAAGAAGCAAACACTCAGATCTTAACTTTTAGTTGGCCCTGAAAATACCTTCTTTCAGTTGCTATATTTGCATTTAAAGTAGGCATTGATACGTGAATAAATAGCTGCTGTAATTGCTGCTTGACTCCCCACCCCACCCTCGCCATTATATTTTCACTTATGCTATTTTGCTAGGTTGAAATTCTCTGGTCTCTTCGTCTATCAATGCGTGTTTTTCAAACTAACTAGTTTTCTCATGAATTGTCAGTGTACATGGAAAATGAATCTAAGATCACTTTCAAATAATGCTGTGCAGTTTCCTGGGGAATCCAAGTACACTAGAATAGAATACTCTCAACTTGCCCTAAATTTTCTTTGTAACAATCATTGATTTCTCATACCCAAAAGCTAAAACAAGAGAATAATATTCTCATTATTTTTGCATCAAATTATCTAAATAAATAACATAAGAGGAGCAACATCAACAAAACAACTCAAGTTTTAAATCTGTTTCTTCTATAACAGTCTTACTTTATATAAATCTGGTATTTGGACCTGTATTATTTCCCCGGTGTCTGAAAAAAATCCTCCTAACTTTATTTGCAAATTAGATCTATGAAATTTTTTCTCAATGTTTTACTTATCTGGAGAAGGGTTTGTTATCTTTTGACAATAACTTGACTTGATGAAGAATTTTAAATAGGGATTTTTTTTCCTTTTAGCATTTAAAACTACTTCATATTCTATGGTACAGCACACTTTTGACTTCAATAAGCAAGCCTCTGAAAAGAAGTCTCATGTATTCTCATACTTCCTCACCTATAATTGAGAAATATTTTTCCCAGTTGGGCTTCTTCAAGTTTTTTTTCTCTTTGTCTCTATTTTTGCATCTCTGGAGTTTAAATGTTTAGGTGTACATAATAAAGACCTATGCTACTCTTTGTCTTACTGGATGCTCTCCAGTCATCCCAGATCTTTGCTTTGATGTCTTGTAGTCAGGTTTTGTTTTGTCCTTGTACTCTGTGGCCAGAGGTTGCTATTAAGTCTTTCTTCCACCTCCTCCCACCCCACTCCCTATCCCTTTTTTATTTAGAAGTTTTTTTTTTTTTCTCTGTATCTCCGGGATCTGTGAAGAGTTGCTCATTTTCGCTGTGTTCAGATGACTTTCTTGTTTGGAAGGAGTTGAGGGTGATTTCAAAGCCCCTTGTATATTACACCCAACAGCATAGTTCTATGCTTTGTGAATTTTTAATTATTAGATTTCTGTTTCTGCAACTCCAGTGTTCAAGATAGAAGTTAATAGTCCTACTGTATACCCATACACCAATTAAGGTTCATCAAATATAAAATATTCAAATGGGTTAAACTTTTGTTAATATTGACGGCATTGTTGTTCTTATATTTTATTAACTTATGTTAACCTCATTAAGTTCTTAGTTTCAAGAGAAATTTACATATTTACTACTCTGAATTTTTTCTTTTTATCAAATAAGATTGGAATTTTTTTTTAACTTAAAACTCTGTTAAACCATGCACTTCTAAGGATGAAACTGAATCTCAGTTTTCTACTATGACCTGTCTGTGGTGATTAAACACAGAATCACTGAGAGCTGCTGGGACAAAGATGGAATCGCACTCTCTTCTCATTCATGCTTTACCTACACTACTTTTCACGAGTTAAATGCTGAATGAAACGAGCAAAGTGTTCCTGATATCCCACAGTGTCCACTCCTGGAATCCCAGTCAACACAGAGACCTTCCTGCTGTGCTGCAGGGATATGGAGCTTCTGTGAGATGCAACATTGGAATTCAGGGAAAGCTATGCAGTTTGTCTCTGCCTTTACCTGTTGTGGGAGCTGCAGGCTTGCTTTTCATCCTGTCCGCCTCCAGCATGGCTAGCTTTACACCCAAAATAACAACACACAAATGTATTCTTTTAAACACTGCCTGGCCCGTTATACCTAGCCTCTTCTTGGCTAGTTCTCACATATTAATTTAGCCCATTTCTAATAATTTGTGTAGCACCATGAGGAGATTCAGCATGTCTGACCTGGTGGCTGGCTGCATCGCGTCTGCTCTGCAGAGCAGAGGCATGGCGTCTATCTCACTTCTCTTCTTCCCAGCATTCTGTTCTGTTTACTCCACCCACCTAAAGGCTGGCCTATCAAATGGGCCAAGGCAGTTTCTTTATTTGCCAATGACCTTCCTTCATCATTTACCCATGCAACCTGGATGCACGATTGTCACTAAAGCAGCCCATTCTTCTGTAGTCTCAGCATGAATGCTCAGACTTGTATAGCCTCTATACAAGTCACTAAATTTTCTTCATATAATTAAATATTGTGGAGCTGATCTGCCAAAAACCTTAACCATAACATTATAATAAATTAATGTTATGTTTTCTTCATTACATGGGTCAATATTTTTGCTTTAATCTTTAATGCTGAATATTGATATAGTTGCTCCAGGGAGATTTTCTATTGTAATAGATCTTGTATATATTATTTTGATTGCTAAATGACTTAAATAATCCAAATCAATTTAATTGAGGATGATCACATCTACCTTTAACATCCAACCATAAAAATGTTGTTTTCTATGGTTATTGTTTTAGGTGTATATCATTGAGGAATCAGGACTAAACATCTTGATGTGGTCCATAATGCAAAGCAAAGACACTGGATGGACCTATGCACATGTACCTCTCTCTAGTAATAGTCCATTCAAGGTGGTGTTTGAAGCTGACTTAGGTGGAAAGGAAGACATCTTTATTGCTCTTGATGATATCACTTTTACCCCTGAATGTGCTTCTGGAGGTAAGTGATCCCTTCAGAAAATAGGTATAAATATTGATTTTATATCTAAATATACAGTAATTGGGAGATTCAGGGGAATTGCATTTACTTCTGAATGAAGTCCTACTCCTAGATGTTGAATATATAAGTGCACATGTCAAGAGGTAATCTCTCTGCCCATGAAGTTCATCATGAAATTTTCATGACTTTAGGGCAGCAAATTAGCACCGCACTAAAGCAGCTTCAGAAAGGCCAAGGGAACATCCTTCAATTGCTACGGCTTCACTGCCTACCTTTCTATTCTAGACTTATCGTAACTGGCCAAGGCAAAGGTGCATCTGGTGCTGCCACCCCGCACTTTCTCCACATCCATTTCATCCATTCTCCTCACTTTGTCAGCCTTTCCCTTCCCCAGGCTGCTTCCTTATTTTATTCATGTCAAACTACCTAGAACAGTCTCTGTATTTCAGCAGGAAAACACAAACGTTATCAGGGCTCCATGTAACTGACACCTGAATATTTAGGATGTCTCCAGTTAAGTGGGGATATTTGTTCTCTGGTAAATAATCAATTACTAATAGATAGGTATAATGTTATTTTAAAATATGTTCTGTGACTAGGAAGTTGCCTTGGTGGTTAAATGCTTGCTGCACAATCAAGGAGACTGGAGTTCAGCTCCCTAGAACCCATGCAATTGCAAGGTGGGCATGGTAATCCACCTGCAATTCTAGTCTAGGGAGCAGAAGCAGGAATCCCCAGAGCAAAGCTGGCTAGCAAAACTAACCATTTTGGTGATCTCATGGTTTGATCTCGTCACTGAGGTAGCAGGAATTCTACTGCATTGTATAAGGTAGAAGAGTAATGGAGGATGACTTTTGACATGAAACTCTGGTCTCCAAATGTAATGGCACCTATGTGAACCTACACAGGCAAACATGCTCACATACATACAAATATGGATACATATACATACATGTACATCTCATATACATAAAAATAAAAAAAGAAAAATATTATGGTCTTAAATTTTTGAATTTTACCCCAGATACTAACTCTAATACAGCTATTTATTATTCTTTCCAAATAAAACAATTTAAAAAAACTACCAAGTATCTCAGTTGTAATCACTTCCATTAATGCTGTTTAATTCCCTTGGTTATATATAGATATTCTATAGTCAAAAAATAGACATTATATATAGTAAATATATATTACTATTTTTTGACAATAGAATTCACACTGTTGAAAGCATAGTTAACAAATGATGCTGGCATAACTGAATATCAACATGTAGAAGAATGGAAATAAATACATGTCTATCACCATGCATAAAACTCAAGTCCAAATGGATCAAAAACTTCAACATAAAGCCAACCACACTGAACCTTATAGAAGAGAAAGTGGGAAATACACTTTTAATGTATTGGCACAGAAGATCACTTCCTAAATATAACCCCAGTAGCTCAGACACTGAAACAATTAATAAATGGGACCTCCTGAAACTGAAAATCTTTTGTAAAACAAGGGACACGGTGAACAAGACAAAATGGCAACCTACAGAATGGAAAAAGATCTTCACCAACCCCACATCAGACAGAGGACTGATCTCTAAAATATACAAAGAACTCAAGAAATTGTCATCCCAAGAATAAATAGTCCAATAAAAAATGGAGTGCAGACCTAAACAGAGAAATCTAAAATGGATGAAAGACACTTAAGGAAATGCTCAATATCCTTAGTCGTCAGTGAAATGCAAATTAAAACAACTCTGAGGTTCCATCTTACACCTGTAAGAATGGCCAAGATCATAAACACTGATGACAACTTATGCTGGAGAGGTTGTGGGGTAATGAGAACACCCCTGCATTGCTGGTGGGAATGCAAGCTGGTACAGCCCTATTGTATATCAGTATGGTGATTTCTCAGAAAATTAGGAAAAAAAAAAAACCTTCCTACAGAACCAGCAGTATCACTTTTGGGGTATATACCCAAAGGATGCTCAGTTGTACCAAAAGGACAAGTGCTCAGTTATGTTCATAGCAGCGTTGTTTGTAATAGCCAGAATCTGGAAACAACCTAAATGCCCCTCGACCAAAGAATGGATAAGGAAAATGTGGAACATTTACACAATGGAGTATTTGACAGCAGAAAAAATAATGACATCTTGAAATTTGCAAGCAAATGGATAGAAATAGAAAACATTATATTGAGTGAGGTAACCTAGACCCAGAAAGACAAATATATGTATTCACTCATAAGTGGCTTTTAGACATAAAGCAAAGAAAACCAGCCTATAATTCACAATCCTAGAGAACCTAGACAACAAAGAGGACCCTAAGAGAAACATACATAGATCAAATCTACATGGGAAGTAGAAAAAGACAAGATCTCCCGAGAAAATTGGGAGCATGGGGACCATGGGAGAGGGTTGGATGGATGGGGAGAGGCAAGGAGGGGAGCAGAGAAAAATGTATAGCTCAATAAAATCAATAAAAAAGATTTATTTTAAAAATAATAAAATAAAAATTAATAAAACCTAAAAAGAAATTCAAATTGTTGTTCAGTTCCATGGTCTGTTACAATGGCTTTATCATTCTTCAAAACTGAATATATATATATAGCTATCTGATTTTCAAAAAATGTTCCTGGGTATGCAGATTAGAAGTACAGAAAATGATTTCCTACTACCTTAGCTAGGAACTGTAGGGAGCCAAGCACATGTAGCTCCCTGTTCTCTAACCCTTTTCTCTGAAGCAGTCTTCGAGTCAGTCTCCTTTGTCTCTAGCTTTTTGCACTCATGGACATTCTTATAACATTTGTGTAGGAACCAGAAAAAATTCTTTCAATTTCCTTATTTTCATTCCTAAATAAGCTCTTGTCCTTACCATTTTTTTTCTAAAGGTAACTCTCTTGCCATTCAAGAGTAAATGTACAGCCCTTATCATTTTTTCTTAACATCTCCTAGCAGCTGTTCCATAATCATGTTCTCTGGCAATCCTACATATGTATGTATAAACAATAAGAACTAAGAATGACTGGAAGATGTATGATTGTATGTATATGTGCATGCATACATGTGTGTATTTATGAGTGTGTACATGTGTATGTATGTTACTCTGATTTTTGTATCTTCAGGAATCAAAGGATATCACTCATATCGTAAGCTTAATGAAGAAAGTAGATTTGGCCTGAACATTGCTATTATTCAGATAATAATAGCAATTGTCATATAATATTTCCTAAATAAAGTTATTTAATAGAATTAACAGCAGTGAATGTATGAGAAGCTGGTTGAACCTGATGGAGTGGTAATTCTTTCTAGATGTATTATATAGTAGACTTACTGTTGAGAGTATTATAAACATCTAATACCTGAACCATGAAACCTTAGACATCTTCTCTGTCACCTTGTGGATTGTGTGTGCCTCTCCAGAGCTTCCTGGCAAAGGGATTCATTGCTGATTGGTCAGAAGCTTTCTAGGAATGAATTTAAGGAGTGATTCTGAAGATACAGTTGTCAAATCTCATAGAAACATGCCAGGGAGTCTTTAGAATCACCCAATAAACATGAAATAGCTTAATTTGAAGATCTGTAAAGAAAAAATAACTATAATATACAGTGTAAGGCTAAACTCATATTTTAAAATCCTTAAAGAAGTGTCCCTTTAGTGCTAGTATAAATGTCTTTCCATCTGATTAGCACTGTAATGAAAATTTTAGAGACATATGGAGTAGGTGAATTTTCCATTGAAAAATAGGATGAGAAAAATATTCATATGTTGGTGAATGTGAAGGACATAACTAATATCAATAGAAAACTGTGTTTCTTTGTAATAAATATAGAAAATGACAAAGAAAATATAAAACCATATTAATAATCTACAGATACCATCTGTGCTGTCTGAAGGAGTATACAAAACAATATACGACTCTGAGAAAAGAAAATGAGAATAGTATGTCTTTTTTCTTTTTTTTGCTATATTGTTAAATGTCTACTTGAAACAATTTTATTTCTAGTTGTGAAGAAATCTGTATGTGTCAGCAGAGACTCCTCTTTCCTCCCTGCCCCCCCCCCAAATACTCACACAGAAACTATTTTAATTACAACACTGCCAATGACTTAGGCATATTTCTAGCTAGCTCTTACAACTTTAATTAACCCATTTCTATTAATCTGTGTATCATGAGATTATTGCCTTCCAATAAGGTTCTAGCTTGTCCTCCTCTTTTGGCAGCTAAATGGCATCTGTCTGACTCTGCCTACTCTCTCTCTCTCTCTCTATCTCTTCCAGCCTGTCTATATTCTGCTCTGCTATAGGCCAAAGCAGCTTCTTTATTAACCAATGGTATTAAAACATATTCACAGCATGCATAGGGAAATCCCAAATCATATATGAAATGAAGTTATATGGTTAAAAGATCTTTGCTTTATTTTATTACTATTTATGTATACATGTGTGTGTGTGCGTGCGTGCGTGTGTGTGTGTGTGCTGTGTGGGTGGGTGGGTTGGTGGGTATGTGTGCATGGTGCTGAGGATAATGCTAAGGGCCTTGTATATACTAGACAAATTTCCTCTTCTCTAGGCTATACCCCAGGCTCTAAATCATTGCTTTAATATTTTCTCAAAATTATTTATTAGAATTAATATAAAAAGCTATAGCATAACTTGGTTTACTTTTATTACTTTGAATCATGTTTTCTCATTGTTATTTCAAACAATAATAACCCAGGTTTTTGAAACTTCTGAGAAATATGAAGTCTGATTAAGCCTCAGCTGTTTACTATTCAGTGAAGCATTAGACATAAGCCTTGTGGATGAACGATGCTTTATTTTTCGGTCATCTGATTTTTCTATCATTGCACTTCAGAAATATCAGTGCCCATTAGCAACAGGAGACCTTGAGCTTGATTTGCACCAGTAACATTCCTCCAGTTGTGTTGAATTTCCAGGAAGCAGCCAAAAACTCAGAATTTTTAGACTTTCAGAAAGAGAACAGGAATTTTAATTCCTGAGAAATAT